TAAAGCCACTGGCAGCCAGGGGTCCTAAAGATTGCATAGAGCAGAACACGCATGCACACACACTGCCACAGTGCCACTGATCAGATTCAACATGAACAGGAAGGGCGCTACTATTATGCTAATCCTCTTTAATTGTGGGGTTTCTCTGTTACAACTCATATTGCTGTAGCTGAAATGTGTTGCGACGTCATTTTAACCTCTTCCATTTCTATAGCTGTGATGTAGAATTTGCTTTTTACAAAACTTCACTTAATCCACTTGAGATTGAAATGTGGTGTGTGTAAAAAAGCTTTCCTTATTCCATGTTCTTTTCCAGCCCTTCCCTGGGTGTTTGTACTTAGTTGCAATAACAGTTTCAATATAATTTTACATTTAGCTCTTTTTCACGTAACACACCAGAAGCATTTTTCTCCATCTCCACAGTCTTCATAATTATAAATGGTAATGACTGCTTAATATTCCATCAAGCTGATGTGCCATAATTGTCTAAAGCAAGAGTGAGATGTTGCTGTTATATCCTGCTTTGAGAAAATCCAACTGATCAAAACAATTCTCCACAAAGGGGATTTTTATATATTGAGTGCCTTATCTTTCTAGGTATAATTTAAATTACAAAAACGTAATAAGCCAGGCGTGGTGGCACACACCTGTAATTCCGGCACTTTGGGAGGCTGAGACAGGAGAATTGCTTGAGGCCAGGAGTTTGAAACCAGCCTGGTCAACATAATGTCTCTACAAAAGAAAAAAATTTTTTTTTTTTTTGAGACGGAGTTTCACTTATGTTACCCAGGCTGGAGTGCAATGGCGCGATCTCGGCTCACCGCAACCTCCGCCTCCTGGGTTCAGGCAATTCTCCTGCCTCAGCCTCCTGAGTAGTTGGGATTACAGGCACGCGCCACCATGCCCAGCTAATGTTTTGTATTTTTAGTAGAGACGAGGTTTCACCATGTTGACCAGGATGGTCTCGATCTCTTGACCTCGTGAGCCACCCGCCTCGGCCTCCCAAAGTGCTGGGATTACAGGCTTGAGCCACCGCGCCTGGCAAAAGAAAAATTTTTTAAAAATTAGCCAGGTGTGGTGGCACATGCCTGTAGTTCTGGCTACTGCGGAGGTTGAGGCAGAAGGATCGCTGGAGCCCAGGAGTTGGATGCTACAGTCAACTTTGATCATGCCACTGCACTCCAGTCTGGGCAACAGAGTGAAACCCTCTCTTTAAAAAAATGTGTTATTAATAGACCCTCAGTCACCGACTATACAAAGCAAAATACTTGTATTATTACTGGGAAAAATATATATATATATAGTATTCATCAGAGTTCTCTGGGGAAAGAGAAACAATAGGATATATATTGACATATAAGAGGGGATTTATTATGAGAATTGGCTAACATGGTTAGGGAGGCTGGAAAATTCTGCGATCTGCTCTCTGCAAATGGAAGACCCAGAAAAGCAGGTGGTATGATTCATCCGAATCCAAAAGCCTAAGAACCAGGGAGGCCACATATGTAAGTCTCCACATCTGAAGGCCCCACAGCCAGGAGCCCTGGAGGCAGGAAAAGACAGAAGCCCCAACTCAGGAAGAGGGAGAACTTGCCCTTTGCGTTCTGCTCACCTTTTTATTCTGTTCAAGGGTGATGCCTGCCCACCTTGGTAAGGGCAGATCTTTTTTACTTAGTCTATTGATTCAAATGCTAGTCTCTCCCAGAAACACCCTCACAGACACACCTAGAAATGTTTTACCAGTTATCTGGCCATTCCTTAGCCCAGCCAAGTTGACACATAAAATTAACCATCACCTATTTATACCTATAAAGTTGGACATTTGCACTCAGTGGCTGCCGGTTACAGAGAATCCCAGCTTCCCTAAAGCAGACCTCACCCAGGCGATTTTCCCTATGTGTTGGACCCTCTCCATCTGTTGTCCCGTCTATGCTGTTTCTCACGGAGGTGGCTGTGTCTGTTTCTTAGCACAGGATGAGGGAGCTGACACTTCTGCATGAGCTCAGAGGTCAGAGGGCAGTTTGTCTTGTCAGGTGACAAGGCACCTGGGCTTTAAGGTGAACATGGCACACAGGCCACCCAGGCACTGAGGAGCATCTAGGGGTGCGTGAGGGGGGTTCTGCACCCCCGTGAACTCACCTTATATTTGCATCCATTGTTTTGTACATGCTTATATTTTAAAAATTTTGTCTTTATTGCACAAACAAGAGTGAAACAATCACTCAGAAACGTATCACAGTAACAGTCCAACAGTCCCTACTTTGTTTGCCTTCCTCCCCCCAACTCCCCACCCCCACCCAAAGAATGTCTCCCTAGCTGTATTTGTCTGAGACAGTTTTGTTTTCTCACTTGGTCCTGTAACTCTCTGTGAGGATCATTGTCATGTTGCATCATAGTCTCAATCTTAGTACAAGATTAATATTGCACCATCCACGCTCTCAGCATTGGCGTAGTCATTCCAACAACTTGCAGAAACCTTTAACCCAGAATTCACCATCTGGATCAGAATTCCAACAATTTGCATGTGTGTGCTGGGGAAAACATTTAGGTTTCGTGTGAACTCAGATTAGAGGAGCGGAAGGAGCTCAGCTGTTCTCCGGCCAGGATGGCACCATGTGTTGTTTAAATGTGTGCATTATCGTGAGCATACCTCCTGTGTTACTAAGTGAAACTGTCTTCCACGAAGGATCCTTAGCATGTTGTTTCATTGTTTATGTACATTACCATACATGTTTAATATGGCATAGAAGGAAGACATAAATTGTATCTACTACTGTACAGTATCATGTAGTGTACAAAATGCCGTGAGTGATGTTTTAAATGCTTTATGTGACGTAGAAACTGCTTGATGGAAGCAATGAAGCTTTCTAATGTTACTTGAGAGAAATGATTCAGGTTTGGAGGTGGGCAAAGAACACAGTAATCTTGGTCTCATTCCGAATAATGGAATACAGGCTCCCACTATTCAAAACTTGCCATTTTCAGGAATGGGTTAGATTTTTGAGACTGAGGGATGTCTATATTTATCGGTATCCTTGACTTGGCTTTGAGCATCATAAGGTCAGGAACTGTAATATATTTATCTTTGGATGCCGAGCACCTAACAGTACCTGGCATTTAGTTGGTTTAATTCACATTATTCTGTGAATATATCAATGAACAGATATGTCATGATTTATCGAAAATTGCTCCTGTTACAGGATAAATATACACTTAATTTTCTTTTGTTTGTTTTTCTTTTGATGGAAAATTTGGCTTCTTGCTCTCTGTGAAGGGCATAGACAAGGAATTTTGATGTGTGTTTCAAGGCACACCAAGGTGCTACATATATGCGGTCAAAGCTTTCCTGCTTCTCCCCAGCTCTCACAGGTCTGGCCTAGCCCAATGCTGTTGAGTCCACACTCAGGAGGACTTGGTTCTCCTCATAAAAAGATCACCTTTGCTTTCTCCTTTGCATGAGAAATAAAGGAGTGAAAAATACATTCCCAGTGAGCTCGCATTCAACTTGGGAACAAAACAGCACATCCATTTCCGAGAGGGCTGTCCAGTCACCATTTGAGGGCTGCTGGCCAGAGGTCAAGCAGGAACCCAGAGTATAACCAGGAAAATGTCCATGGTAGACCGCAATGATTCATGCCTCCCATATCCACACCCTTGTGCAGTCCTTTCCCACATTGATTCTGGTCTAGGGCACATGACTTGGCTTGGCCAATGGAACACATGCAGGCTTGCACATCTCGAACTCTGCCACCTCATTTAGGATCCCAGAGTCTCCTTCTGGAGACACAGGTCCCTAGTGACAGTCTGCACCACCATTCAGACAAGTCAGCAGGGCCATCTTAGATCATCCAGCCCTAGTCAAGCCACCAGATAACTGTGCCCACGTAAGTGACCCCTGCTGAGACCAGCAGGAGAATCATGCCGATGGGCCAGTACACATTCTGACCCACAATTTCCTAATAACGTAAAATGGTTGTGGTTGTAAGCCACCGTGTTTCAGAGTGGTTTGTTACACAGCAATAAATAACTAATATCATAACCATACCATCAGTCCAACTAGGTAGGGAAGAATGTAAATAGCAGGGCAAAACAGCATGACTGGTGGCTGGGAGGCTTAAAACTGGGACAGGGTCAGCATCATGAAAGAAGTCAAGGAAATGGTTCAGAAGTAAGGCTGAGACTGACTCACAAAAGCTGAAAGTCTCTTTATGTTGGTGTTTGGTGCATTGGCAGGGGCAGGTATGGTGACTTAAAAGAGCCATGCTTAACAAGATCAAGGGCAACACAATCACAAATCATCCCAGCAGACCTTAGCAAGTCTAGCCATTTCTTTGGTGGTGGTAACAGTTATGCTCCAGCCCAGTTTCCGCTTGGACAAATGGTACACATTTTCAGTGAGATGAAAATTAAGATACAATCCATGTGCTCAGAGAGTGATCACAGCTCTGACCTTATTAATATGGTGCTTTGTCTGCTAAACACTGTGCCCCGAAGTGTTGAGGAATTGGGGAAACCTAGCTGACTTAGGGGTCTCCTTTCTGTTACAATAAAGCTCATAATGAAAAGTAGCCTTCTTTGTTCTTCCCCAAGTCTTTCTCTCTAGCAGAAACTACTTTCAACTGTTTTAACTTCCTTGCTGTTTACTTCCATATTTCTAGATAGTATGGTCATACTGTTATTTCTTGATTTTAAATGTAAGATATCTATTGACTTGCTTCTATGTAAGGAGAGGATTGAGCTCTCTCATCCTTCTCCTATTCCCTCATCCTCCCAACATAAATGTATTTTAGGATTATATCGATATTCAATGTTACGTAAAGTGACCTTGTAAATATTTTCACAACTGAGCCATATTTGATTTGTATGCTTATGTTTGCTTTGTCATTTTTCCTGAAGTTAATAATTGCCTTGAATTTATTTCTTTAAAAATGTTTTAACATTACAGTTCACTCTTTGTGTTATACAGTTGATGAGTTTCTTTTTTTTCTTAATTTTTTTTAAAAACTAGAGATAGGGTATTACTATATTATAGGGTATTACTGTATTACCCAGACTGGTCTTGAAGTCCTGGGCTCAAGTGATCTTCCTCTCTCAGCCTACCAAGTAGCTGAGACTTTAGGTGCAAGCCACTATACCTGGCTAGTTTATGGGTTTTAACAAATGCATCATGCTGCATGTCCATTATTACAGTGTCATACAGGACATTTTCATTACCCTAAAAACATCCCTGTGCTCCACCAATTTACCCTGCGTCCATGAGCTGTTGGCAACCACTGATCTCGATAGTTTTGCCTTCTCTATAATATATAATTGGAATCATACTGTCTGCAGCATTTTTGGACTAGCTTTTAAAACTTAGCAATATGCATTTAAGGTTCCTCCATGTCTTTCTGTGTCTTGATAACTCATTTCTTTTTATTGCTGAATAATAGTTCATTGTCTGCGTGTTCCACAGTTTGTTTATGCATTCACCTATTCAATTTGCTTTTTTTCTGTGTATCTATCACTAATTCAAATCCGTACTCTCCAATAGAGCCATAAAGTACCTTTAAAAACATCAAGTAACCTCTGTGTTCTATTTTTTCCCCACAAGTTGTCATCCAGTGCCCCATCTGAGCTGGTTGCCCTGTAAATTGTTCTGGTAGTTTCCCATTCTGTCATCCTGGGAAGTCCTTTTGCCTGATTTCTGAGTCATGTCTTTTGTTTATTGGATCTCATGTCATTTTCTTTCTTGGTTTATTTATTAATTCATTTTAATGGAGTGCATCCTCTAGTCACTTCCTCGGAAAAGATATATGGGAAATAATTTTGTAAAAAATATGCAATAAAATATTTATTTTATCCTCACAGATCAGACTTTTCTAGACTTAAATAAATCCCAATAGAAAAACGTCAGGTTGCTGGTGGCTTGGCATAAGCATACCACCAAGAGATTCCTGAATGGCTGGAATTCTATTATTTCTTCTATTTTGGTCTAATTTTTCTTTTCTACTAGCTTGAAAGTCTTCTGACTAATAGTCCCCCAGCTAATCCTTTTGTGAATTGGTTTGAATTGGCCTCACTTCATTTAACTTCTGTGCAGAGATATGTATTATAGCATAAGAATGGTTATGGTCACTTAGTATTTCTCTCCCCACTTTTGGATTGAAACAAGTACAGAATAATTAGAGCAGAGACTATTTCTGGCAAATAAAACAGTTAATAGTTGGAAAGGTATGTTTCAGTGAAGATTGTTTATAAACACACCTCTTGCTGCCAGGATCTTAAAGTCTAATTAATTAGTATCAGCCCAGCCTGCCTTTTCTCTTCTGTCACTTGCTTTCATCCTCCTTCATGTATACACACACACTTAGACACACACAATCACACGAGCACACGCCCCTTGTTGTCCTGCCTTTTCTTTTCCTCTTTATCTCAGTCTGCACAAGTTTACGCACAGAATTGGCTTGCCTCCTAGCTGTTTTGTCCCCACACTCCATCAAAAAATATTTTCTGCATCTCTAATTTCATCAAGATATGCCTGACTGAGAATGTCAAAACCACTGAGCAGAAGTGTTTAATCCAAAGTTGGCTCCGTCGGTGATGATCAGCTGAGGAAACAACCTCCAATTTTTCCCTAATTATTTGTTAGGATGTCAGTTTTCACTTTATGGAATAGGTTCACATCCTGCTTCTCACCCCCTGCCCCCCACTCGTTATTGGGCAGAGGCCTCCCACTGATTTCCAATAGAGCTCTCTGCACCCGAGAAAGACACATGGAGAAGAAATGGTACCTGCCGTCTGTGGGAATGCCACCTTCAACAAAGGATTTCCGTAAGCAGACAGTTGCTTCATGATTTCTTGGATAGGCAGATCCTAGCCATGTTTATGTAATTCCATAAAGTGAAGTTTGGGACTCTGAGCTGGTCACCAGCGACAAGCCCTGGAGGAGTCTGGGCAGCCCAAGGTAGAACTACAGGCGGAAGATCCTTGCTCTGCAGTCTGATGGCTGTGTGACATCAGGACAGTCTGTTAACCCCTCTGAGCCTTCGTGCCATCTTCTGTAGAATGGGAATAGTATCAGCTACCTCCTAGGGTTGCTGCAAGGATAAAAACCAAGTAAGTGCATGTGAACATACTTGATAATGAATGAGAAGGTGCCCTGTAAATGTTGCTTATATTAGCTGACCTTAGAGATAAGAATCAAAATGCCACATTTTTGTTCCAAGTGTTTTTCCCCCTTCGGCTTAGTCCTCTTTTTCATTCGGGATAATCTACTGTTTAAAGCATTTATTAATATAAAGATTACAAGAGGAAGGATTTTGAATGTAATTAGTGGGGAAGGAAGCTTGTTTCTCTGGGATGAGAATGCCATCACTTGTTGGCTCAGTATAGCACACTGGTAATCTTGTTTCCTGAGGCTTTGCACATGCTGAGAGCACATCATGCTCACAGGCACACTTAGTGAAGATCTGAGAATGTGGTAAGGGAGAACGTGTGCCAGGAACTGGGCAGGTGGGCGGCACAGATTGCCATTCCTGCACGGGCTGTGATTGCAGGAACTGCCTCATGGACACTGGTAGAACCCGAATAGACATCATCAAATAGATGGGTCTTCCTGCTTGCTATTTCAGTTTGCTTCCCAGTCCCCTCTGTGCCCACCATCCACACAGGTTACAGAATCTGAAGCCTCACCCCATTGGACAAAGGGCTACGGATCCGCCAGTATATCAGAACTCACATGGCAGGCAGTGGCTTGTGGGATCTTTCTAAAAGGGAGAAGGCTGGACTCTTCAGGGCCTGAAGGCCTGTATTATTTCTTCACAGTTTGGAAGAAAGCTACTGTGATGGTCAATTTTAAGTGTCAGCTTGGATAGGCTATAGTACCCAGTTAATTTATCAAACACTAGATGTTGCCAGGAAGATATTTTGTGAGTGCGGTCAACACTACAGTCAGTTGAGTTGTGTATAGGTGATTGCCCTCCATAAGGTGAGTGGGCTTCCTCTGATTAGTTGAAGGTCCTCCAAGCAAAACTGGGGTTTCCTGGAGAGGAAAATCTGCCTCAGAATCATGACATCAACCCCTACCTGAATTTTCAGCCTGCCAGCTTGCCCTGCAGATTTCAGACTTGTCAGTCCACAGTCTCACGAGCCAATTACTTATAATAAGTCTGTCTATCTGTGCATCTCTTATGGATCCTGTTTCTCTGGGCATCCCTGACTGATACAACGGTTCTCTATCCAGAGATTGCCTTTTTCTTTGACTCTATTGCAATCTAACTCTCAGCAGTCCAGGATGTGAAACATTTTCTTTTCACTAGGAAAACCAACTGCATTACTGGAACAACAGACCAGGTAAATGAATCCCAAATCATAGTCCAACTTTGATTTTGAAATCTACTAAGCTTTGATAAAACTGAGGTACATATTTTATCTTTTAAAAAATTGCGATCCATTTTTCCTCATCAACAGTGAGGAGTTCAAATCATCTGCATTCTAATCCCATATCTGTCTTGGTTCTCATCACCGTACAGCCTCTCCTTGCTCCCTGAGTTGGTCTCCCTGTTGGAACACGTGCCCCTCGGTGAGGAATCTCCATGTACAACCGAGTTGGCAGTTGTCTCAGGGGCCAAGGCAGTGGGACTCACATTGTAAGCTTAGGTGTCAATGAAGTTGTCTCTCCTTGAAAGACACTAAACTTGAAAAAGTTGTCATCTCATAATTCCACGTTCCAAGATCAGGAGAGAAACGCTCTTCCCTGTTTAAGTCATTATTTTTATTTCCAGGGTCATTTCTGGAACCCTTCGTATACATTCTAGTCACTTTAAGTCTGAATCACAAACGTTACAAGGCTCACCTTTGGCCATCCCCAGGCAGATGAGGCAGGGTCTGGGTTCCGTGAGTCATTTGCCACAGACTCCAGTTGGAAGCAGTTCCCAGTGGGGTTACGTGTGAGCCTTTTCAATTGTCCGTGACTGTGTTCCGTATACACATATCGATTCCCCTCTCTAATTCCCAGAGCTAGTGCCCTGCCCTTCTGTCTGGCTTGGGCGGAGCCCCTGAGGGGTGGGGAAAGGACCTGGCGCCACTGAGCAGACGCCCCTTAATGGTAATCCTCCAGCGAGTCAATGGCCTCCAAAGAGACCATGAGCGTGGTCTTGTTGATGAGGATTGTAGTCACAGTCACACAAAAAAGTCCCCAGTCTCTGCTTCAGGACCCCATGCATGGCCCATCATCCCTGCTGCAGAAAGAAACTGGACAGGACCTCCCCTTAGGAGCCTGTCAGCCCTTGTCACTAATCAGCCCAGGGGCTACTCGGAATGACTGGAGGCACTCACGTCCACCCCCTACCAACTGCTCTGCCCGCTCTCAGCCCCTGCCACCTGGGGAGCCCCACACCAGGGCAGGGCAATCAAGCTTGGCTTCTGCATGCCGTGCAAAGCTTGCCAGCAGCCAAGCTCTTGAAATATTTATATTTATACATGCAAGGCTCAGACTCTCGCTTTGTCCCGAAAGGAGCCATCGTATGTGGGGTTGGGGTATGGTTCAGGAGGGTTCATTCATCCCATGCTAGCGTACCTACCCACCATGGCTCACCTGCGCAGAGGAGCAGGGATCTCACCAAAATAGTCGAAAAGTTGGCCATTGTCATGAATCGAATCCATGCGTTGGAAGAAATATACATTAGAAAATTGCATAGTCTCCCCCTCCCTTTGATTCAGAGATTTTGTGTCATTTGTGCACAGGGAAGAGTCTAAATGCCCCTCCTGAGAGGTGTCCTTCTGGGGACTCAGGACCCACGGATTGCAGAGCATACAGACACAATATATGTATTTATTTTCAAAGGCAACGTGAAATAACACCAAAGAGCTTTTGTGGCTACCTGTTCTCTTTTGAAGAACTGTTCGAAAACTAGATGATGGGCAAAAAAAATCTATAGATGGGAGGGAGACAGGAAGAGCCACAGTTTCAGCTGAGACAGATGGGTGCACCCCAGACTCAATTAGCAATTGTTCCCACATATTTCAACAAACACACCTTAAACGCAGGTTTTCCGAGTGAAGGCCATGATCAAAGCCTTTGGGTTGGGGGAATTTTCTCATGGCAATGACAGCTGTCCTCACAGAAACAACTCAATTTATCTCAGAACTGAAGGTTTCACTAGCTTCGGCCTCTCATCAAATTGCGTGCATGGGAATTATTTTTAAGTACTCTAAAATGGTATCATTTCCTAGTGGCAAATTATTTGGGTGTATTTCGAAACTAATTAAAAGGGAAATGTCTTACTTTGCAAAGAGCAGCATTTCTACATTTTAAAAATCAGATGTTCTCAGTAGGGAGCAGGGTTTTATCTTCGTCAGTGTTGGCTATTGCTAAGTGCATCCCAGATTGAAAATCTAAATGAAATAACTACAAGGAAAGGCATGGGGTAAGTTTATGTTGGGAAAGGAGGAGGGAGACACATGCACATATATAGTACATACACCATTTATCTGGTAATTTAGAAAGCCTTTTCATGGCGTCTTTTTTTCTTTCTTGCTCATTGCTTGTTATTTCACTGTGAGCGTTGCAAATATGGAGGGCGGCAGAGGTGCCAGGCTCCATCATGACGTCCAAAAATTGGCTTTGTACATATGCTGAATTAGAGATTGGCTGGCAGAAGCAGTGCGCAGACCCTAGATTGGCAGGGATTCCTTGTGACGGAAGACAGGGCCGTGAACCCACGGGACTTACTCTGAAGCCAGCAGCCAGGCAACATGCTGCAGCCCACATGCCAAAACCTGTCTTAAAAGACATTCTGAATCTGCATCAGGCATCAGATCCTGCCCAGGTGACGCCCTCCAAAAGTCGAATCCCCTTTCTTTTCTCACGAGGAAGAGACTGTGTTGAACCTGTCACAGGACAGAGATTTGAAAGTTTTCACCCAAGGCTCCAGGTCATTTCAGTCACCTCCTCTTTGAATGGGCACCATGGCATCTAAGGAGGAAGGCAGGAATCCTGCAGATGCAAACCTTCCTGTTTTTTTCCTTCCTTGAAAATAAGCAAACTGCCAAAGTGGTTCTGATGGAAGAAGAATGAACACAGTGAAGGAACACGTTAGACAGCCGGAGCAGGGAAGTCCATGCCAAAAAGACCCGCCATCTGGGGCTTTTTTTCTCACCGTGTCAACTGGAACGTGCCTCTCTCATGTATGAGTAGCTAGTTTGTGGCTTTACCCTTCCCAGGAGATCTGCTTTATTTTATGGGCAATGATGAGTTTTAATAAAAGCAGTGTTGTTGTTGTTGTCGTTATTGACCTTGGGTTTCTGTTTTATCTTAGAGTGTAATGCTAGAAAGGAAGTGAGGAGAATTATTTTCTAGACCAGTAGATGCTTTTGACTCAAATGATGATATTGTACACTTCTAGGAGCCTTTAAAGAAGGGACATTAGCTCCAGTTATGTCACCTTTCTTCTAAGGGTACAGTGAAGGATCAGGAGCTGAGCAAGCTGACCTCAGTCCCAATCAGCTCCCAAACGTGACAGCTGATTAGAGCCTTGCAGCCTTTCAGGTACTGTTTAATCATTTACTCGCTTGAGTGTATAAGCCCCGTGAGAGCGGGGAGCCTGTCTGCCCATACACAGCACACACTCAGGAAATATTGTTGAATATGATCATTGGGTTGATGATCTCACGGGGTGGCACCAAGGGGGCCAGCATGTCAAGCGTAATTCACACCAGAGCAAGCTTTGGGTCACATTCTGTATCATGTGTGATGTAGTGAGCAAGCGCTCAGATGGGCTTCAGGAGATGTGTGTTCAAGTCCTGGCTCTGCCTGCGGCATCAGAGTGACCTTCAGTCATTTGTTGATCTCTCGAGGACTTCTGTCTCCTTGTTTCTAAAATGACTAGATAATTGTGGAGCTTTCTTCAACCCTAAAATTCTGTGATTCTGAACCTCAGCCAGTCATCTAAAAATGCATCTTCTGTGTGATGAAAGATATTTATTAGGCCTAAGTGGGAGAGCCAGCATTCTTGATGAAAGGAATTACTCTACGCACACGTCCTAAGGACAGTGGTTTAGAAGTCATCTTCTGCTTCCCCTTGATCAGTGCCCTCCTGGTAGATAGGAACAACATGATGGGAAGGACAGGCATGGATGCACAGAAAGAACAGGAGGCTGAGCGTGGCTCCAGGCACCACTGCGCTATAGAGTGTGGCACTGAGAGCCGGCCAAAAACATAAAGATGGGCTTGGAGACAGTGGGGCAGTGTGGATGCCACTCAGCTCAGGAATGTTGCAGAGAGGAGTCATATGTGAGATTAGGGTTACCCCAAGTTACCTCTAAGTTCTGTCCAACTCAACTACCCTGTGAGTCTGTGATAGTCCCAAGCTCTGTCCTGGGACACAGTGACACCCCTGAGATCTACACCCCTGAGATCTTACCAAAGACCTCCGATAGTCCAGGCACTGTTCCTCTTAAGGGAGATAGAGAGGAGGGGGAGAGATGGAAAAGGGAGAACTCACCTTTGTTAATATACTGCTTTCTAATAACTTTTTGAGATGGAGTCTCACTATTGCCCGGGCTGGAGTGCAGTGGCGTGATCTCGGCTCACTGCAACCTCTGCCACCGGGGTTCAAGCAATTCTCCTGCCTCAGCCTCCCGAGTAGCTGGGATTACAGGTGCCTACCACTGTACCTGGCTAATTTTTTTTTATTTTTAGTAGAGATGGGGTTTCATCACATTGGCCAGGCTGGTCTTGAACTTCTGAACTTGTGATCCACCCACTTCGGTCTCCCAAAGTGTGGGGATTACAGGCATGAACCATTGCGCCTGGCCTCTGTTAACTCTTAAAGAACTCTTCATTCCATTGTTCATGGAATATGCTTCCAGTCATGGATTGTGTTGAAAAGGTAAGTCCATGTCCTAATCCTGGGACTTACGAATGTGACCTTATTTAGAAAAATGGTCTTTGCAGATGTAGTTGAGGATCTCGAGATAGGATCATCATAGATTATCTGGGTGGGTCCTCACTCCAATGACAAGTGTCTTTCTAAGAGAAATCAGACACACACGGAGGAGAAGGCAGACACAGAGAAGAGCACATGAAGGCAGAGGCAGAAGTTGCAGTGGCGGCAGCTGCAGGGACTGCCACCAGCCAGCAGGAGCTGCAGGAGGCAGAGAGGATTCACTAGAGAGGGACCGCGTCCTGCACACACCTCAAGTCCACATTTCTGGGCTCCAGAACTATGAAAGAATACATTTCTGTTGTTTTAAGCTGCCAATTTTATGGTAATTTGTTGTGGTAGCTCTAAGAAACTAATAGACCTCAGATGTATTATCATTAATATCACTAATCAGGAGCTGCAAGGTCTCTTTTCCTAATTAACATCATGACTGTTCTTACTGATAATAAAAATAAAAGAACTCTCAGGGAAGTGGGGGGAGAGAGAGCATCAGCATAAACAACTAATATGTGTGGGGCTTAATACCTTGGTGATGGGTTGATAGGTGCAGCAAACCACCATGGTATACATTTACCTATGTAACAAACCTATACATCCTGCACATGTATCCTGGAGCTTAAAATAAAATTTAAAAAGTAAAATATGCTGGGCGAGGTGGCTCACACCTGTAATCCTAGCACTTTGGAAGGCCCAGGCAGTGAATCACCTGAGGCTAGGAGTTCAAGACCAGCCTGACCAACATGGTGAAACGCTTTCTCTACTAAAAATACAAAAATTAGCTGGGTGTGGTGGTGTGCTCCTGTAATCCCAGCTACTCAGGAGGCTGAGGTGGAAGAATCGCTTCAACCTGAGAGGTGGAGGCTGCAGTGAGCCAAGATCACGCCATTGCATTCCAGCCTGGGCGACAGAGTGAGACATCATCTCAAAAAAATGAAATAAAACAAAAACTCTATCTTAAAACACATTAGCATTATTGAAGAAGAATATTAGATCTTTTGAAGTAAGTGTCTGTTTTTGCTTATGTAATAGCTATCTGTAAATACTCACTTCTTCAATGAACCACCATTTTCTTCAGGTATTTTTTGTTTTATTTTTTTGTAGAAGGAAACACCTACTACCAGAAAAAAAGTGCTCCATTTTGATATCCCTCCATCCATTTTGATATCCCTCCATCCGTCTTGATATCCCTCCATCC